CCAATAGCAACATGTTAGTATGTTTTAAAGTAACTCCAAAAACTGCAAATGTGATTGGGCTTGGCAGTTTTTATTGTTCCCTTCACAAAAAGGGATTGTCAACTGAGAGGAATCCTAGACAAGGGCTCACTAGGATTTCTGAGGAAATGTGTGGAAAGTGTTTGGAATTGTTTTGATGAAATTTACCACAAAGATGAAAAATACATTTAATAGATAGAATCTTGTAGAGAGTGCTTCTCAAACATTCCTCATGTGTCACCCGGGGATCTGATAAATATGCAGATTCTGATTCAGTAGTTTGGAGGTGAGGCCAGAATTTTGGCATTTCTTACATACTCCCAGATGATCACAACGTGCTGGGCCAGGGATCATTCTTTGTGTAGCAAGATTGTAAAAGGGCTGGGATAGTCTGATGACATCCGCAAAATGAAGATATAAAAATGTCAAGGTTTGCTTAGCAAAGCTGTGATTCAGACAGGAAGAAAGATATTGAGTCTCGATGACCCTTTGCTTATTGTGGGTTCATATAGGAGCCTTAGGCTGTGGGTATAGAGAGACAAGGAAAAGGGAGACCCCAACTAGTGCTAAATGGAGAATGCAGTGACAAAGAGAGCAGCTTTTGAACAGACTCTGGGAATGACCTGCGGCCACTGAGGGAAGGCTTTCTAGACACTCAGTCCTGTTTAATTCATGCCTTATTGCCTGCATAGTAGCTTGCCACTGTCAGATGGTATATTTTGGTTTTTTGTTTTGGAAAGTTCAGTCCATTGGTGTGTGCTAAATGAGAGCGCTAGCAATCATATACCTTCCCATAGGGAATACCAAGAGTATATTTGTCCTCAGCCCTACTCAGGTAACAATAAAAATCTTTTTTTTCTATTATCTTATCTTTTCCAGATTCTAGCTTGAAGAAGCCAGCAGTAAGCATTGGGTAAATGGGTAAGGAAAGACCTGGGACAAGGAAAACAACAGATCACATACCCCTTCCCATGGCCGGATTCATCTTAAGCAGTTCTGAAATAAAAGAGGGGAGAAACTTTGAATTGAAAAACGAGATTGGAATTGGACTGGTTACGGCAAAAAAATCAACCTAAAGGGCTGTGAAGGGTTAAGGAGAGATCTCAGAAATAGCATGATACAGGACAGTCAGAGAGAGAAAGATTTCTTGATGTATCCCAGCAAGTTCAGCCTATTCAATATAAATTAGTGTTAGATGCACATGTTTGAACTAGGAAGAGTAAGAATAAACTAGAGAAGGTACAGGATGAGAATAGAGTTCTATTCTCCTCTGCACTGAGAGGGGGCTGGACTTGACCTATGCCAATACATTTTCCCACAATTCTAAGACATTTATTTTATTTTATAATCAAGAGCTAGCATTCTCTCCGTTTTTCAAGAGAAGCCAGGATTATATATTTTTATGTGAGCACTTCTGATTTTTAACTGTTGACTACTAGTTCAAATTTCTACAACACCCAGAGGGTCCAGGTGTGTTGACAAAGGATGCATATCTGAGGGCCTCTAGGTATATGACCTCTGGACTAAGCATCATACCCAGTTACTCACATTTATGTGGGGGAGCACTGAAAGCTTGGACTTAGTCATTTCTGTGTCCTCAGCTCCGGGCTAATTATTTAGTAGGTGTCCATAGGTGTTAACAGGAATCAAAGGCAACTATGGGCTGGAAATTAAAGGCCCTTAGACAATAATTTCTAGAAATTCTTCTGGTGCTAAAATGTGTCACTGCTAGCTACCTATCACTTATTGTGATGAAACTGACTGAGAAGCCCAGCATAGGAAAAGGAAAGGAAGAGGAAAAGGAAAAGGGAGGAGGAACCCTAGCTCACCATCACGGGTCAAAGCCTGGAGCGTCCTGGACACAGGAACCGCATCTTCAAGTGCATGCTAGCTAGCGTTTCATCAGCACTTCCAATGGAAAAAAGCAGAACAGGACATGCTTAAACGGCCACCCTTTGGGAGGCAGGGCAGTTTGCCCTGTGTATCAAATATGTGCCACCTTTCCTGTGTGTACTAAGTAAAGGTCTCCCTCCCTTTACTGAGCACATGGAGATGGAGGGCCTTGAATTCTTAAACACTAAAATGTGTGTAGATGTGGGAAAAACATAGTCCACCAGAGACAGCCCATTGAGACGCTGAGGCCCCAAGTACCAAAATGTGTCAGGACCTCCCAGGAGGAGCCCCAAACTTGCATAGGCCCAGACCCAGTCTTCCTGGGGAACTGCTGTCCCCTGCTGGCAATGAAGGGTGAGACAACATTCAGTTCTAATTAGCTTAGCCAATCTTCTCCACAGCTACCCAACCTCTCATCCTCAAGCCAGGTGAGCTGGGCCTTTCTGTTTTGAGTCTCAGGTTCTCCAGCTTCTTGCCTCCTCCACTATTCACTGAGGGCAGGAGTCAGGTATCCTTGTTCATCTTTGAATCTCCAACCCTCAGGAGAGTGGCCTGTCACTGAGGGTTGGAGATTCAGAGCTGAACAAGGATATGAACTCATTGAATGAAAATGGGTTAAATTCTTGGTAGTTAAGAAGAACTGGATCTCTGGCATCAGACTACTTAAGTTTATATATCATCTTCATGACTTGAGTCTCTGTATCCTCATCTGAAGAAAGGGAAAACACCTCTGTTGGATGGTTACTGATTCAACAAGACAGTGAATACAAAGTGTTAGGACTGTATCTGTTATATAGTAAAAGCTCAAAAAATAGTAACTATTAATACTTTTAAAAATAGGCTTACCAAAGTATGACTGATGAAGATTAAACTGCACGTATTTAAATTGTACATTTTGATGAGTTTTGACATGTGTATATACCTGTGAAACCATCACTACAGTGACGATAACAAACATATTTATTCCCTCCAAGTTTCCCCATGTCCTTCTGTCATCCAGCCTTCTCTCCTCCCCCAAGAAAAATATGCACATAGTGTACTATGGCTCACTCTGACCTCAGAATGGTAGATACACTGACAGCTCACACTGTGAACCTGGAAAAGCTGCAGACACCCAACACAAGCCTGTGAAAGCAGCCAGGAGGAAGGCTGTACCCTGCAAAGCCATAGGAGTGGAGCTGTCCAAGATCATGGGAACCCACCTGTTGCATCAGTGTGACCTGGATGTGAGACATGGAGTCAAAGGAGGCCATTTTGAAGTTTTAAGAATTGACTGCCTTGATGGATCTGGACTTGCATGGGGCTTTTAGCATCTTTATTTTGGCCAGTTTCTTCCATTTGAAATGGGTGTTTTCATCAAATGCCTGTACCCCCATTGTATCTAGGAAGCAATCAACTTGTTTTTTATTTTATAGGCTCATAGGCAAAAGGAACTTGCCTTGTCTCAGATGAGACTTTGGACTGTGGACTTTTGAGTTAATGCTGAAATGAGTTAAGACTTGTGGGGACTGTTGGGAAGGCGTGATAGGTTTTGAAATGTGAGGACATGAGATTTGGGAGTGGCCAAGAGCAGAATGATATGGTTTGGCTGTGTCCCCACCCAAATCTCATCTTGAATTGTAGATCTCATAATTCTCACATGTTGTGGGAGGGACCCAGTGGGAGATAACTGAATCATGGGGGCAGTTTCCCCCATACTGTTCTTGTGGTATTGAACAAGTCTCACGAAGTCTGTTGGATTTATATGAGGAAATCTCTTTCACTTGTTTTTTCTCTCATGTCTGCTGCCATAGACGTGCCTTTCGCCTTCTGCCACGATTGTGAGTCCTCCCCCAGCCCTGTGGAACTATGAGTCAATTAAACCTCTTTCCTTTATAAATGACACAGTCTTGGGTATGTCTTTATTAGCAGCATGAGAACGGACTAATATACCTTCTAATTTGTCTCGTGGTTCTGTAGTTCAGAGTGATCTTTCTAAACTATATTATGTTGCCCTTCTATTGAAAATTCTCCACTGGCTTCTCATCTTAGAAGATGTGGTAAAATCTTGACAAGTGCTCCCAATGCACCAAACTTCTAGGACTTCATGTTCTACTACTTTCTACTATGTACATTCTGTTTTAGCCACAAAGACCTCACCATTCTGGCGAGGGCCCACCAGAAATATTCCTACCACAGGGCCTTTGTACTCGCTATTTTCACCCAGGATGTGCTTTCTCCAGTGTCTAAGGCTGTTGACTACATCCTTGTCTGTGCTCAGATGCCACTTCATCAGAGTCCTTTTCTGATTACCATACACATATCATCCTCCTTCATTATCCCTGTATTGTTTTGTTTGAGTTGGAGTCTCCATCTGTTGCTTAGGCTGGAGTACAGTGGTGTGATCTTGGCTCACGGCAACGTCCACCTCCCTGGTTGAAGAGATTTTCCTGCCTTGGCCTCCTGAGTAGCTGGGATTACAGTGGCCCACCACTATGACCAGCTAATTTTGTATTTTTAGTAGAGACGGGATTTTGCCATGTTGGCCAGCCTGGTCTCGAACTCCTGTCTTCAGGTGATCTGCCTTCCTCAGCCTCTCAAAGTGCTGGGATTACAGGTGTGAGCCACCGCACCCGGCCGTGTGTGTGTGTGTGTGTGTGTGTGTGTGTGTGTGTGTGTTTGTTGTTGTTGTTCTTTATAGCACTTATCACCGCCTCAATTATTACATAGTTATTCATGATGTGTCTCTTTCCGTCAGAATATAAACAAGAGAACAGGAGCCTTGTTTGGTTGGTTTCTATACTTCCACTCTCTTACCAATGCCTGGCATTTAGTAGGTGCTCAACATTTGTTTCAAGAAATGATTAATAAATAATACTGCATATTGAATATTGTTTCCTCTTTTAACAAATCTTTAATAGTAAAAAATTAAAAGCAGCAAGATTGCTCTGCATCAGGCACAATAAGCATGTTAAATAGAGCTTATGATTCACTTTCCTTTATAGAGCCCACATGCTCTCCGCCAGATGCAGAGGGTGCTAGCCCTGCAGGAGCTGCGGAGGCGGAGCAGAAGGCCGCCTAAAAGAGCCTCTGCTAAGAGAGCAGGCGTGGGCGGCGAGCCGGCAGAGCTGGGGACCTGCCAGCCAGGGAGGTGGAGGACCGGCCCCTTCTCTTAGGACCGCCTACGGCGCATGCTCTGCAGGGTTAAGTGGCTGGCTGGCGAGCGGCGGCTCTGGGTCGGGGCGGAGTCTCCGGGGCACTTCCCGGCGGCTGACTGCTCTGATTGGCTGAACAAATAGCCTGAGGGTGGTGGGCACCCGCCCTCCCGCCAAGGCCGACCAGGCCTTCTGCAGGTGCCCTATCCGCACCCTCACTCCTGCCCCTGCGACCTGGCACTGCGACTCGAGACAGCGGCCCGGGAGGACGGCTCCAGGTGAGTGCCGGCTCCGCGGCGCTGCCAGGTGCGGGTGCGGTGTGGAAGCTGGTGCCTCCACCAATGGGAGGGCCGCGCCCCTCTCTCGGGTGCTCGGTCCCAGCGTCCCGCGGCGCTGCAGGCCAGCAGGACTCTCTGCGTTTGGACCCGGCGAGTCTTGCCTGGGGGGCCTGAGGGTGGCTTTTCTGCAGTCATTGGCTCATGGCATCTGCCAATCAACCGGGAGTCGAGTGCTCTCTGAAGTTGCCCACTCTTCCCCTGGGCGCTCTCCGCTTTCCTGGACCGGCGCGGTCGGCGGTCAGTGAAGCTGCCCAGTGCTCCTGGACTGAGGGGACAGCAGGGATGCCTGATTCCTATCTCTGCATCCTCGTGCCTCCTCCCATTAGCTCCTCCAGGCATCGTGTCCTGCCTCTCTTGTTAGCCAACGGCGTGGTCGAGAGCAGACTTGGGCTTCAGTCCTGGTTAAAATCCCAGCGATACTGCCTTTTAAGCAGCTGACAGTTTCCTGAAAAATGGAATTAATGGCACTGCCATAGGGTCGGTGGAGGAGTTTGACATAGTAGATCAAAAGTGCTGCCTGCGGTGGCTGGCGCCTCGCAAGAGCTTAAATGAGAGTCTTAATAATTATTATCAGAAAGCTAAATGGCATGCTGCGTTGGGGCCTTTTCTTTTGCCACAGAACTGTTGGACTACTATCTTTTTAGAATCTGTACTATACATCTAACATGTATGTGGCATTTCGCTGGGTCCTGGGGGTACAAAGTTGAATCAGACTCAGGTTGTGCCCTGTGGACTGGGAGAAATGAGAGGAGACAAGTATTTAATTGGATTGTTACAAAATCTAAAGAACTGAGTTAAAGGTGTTGATGCAGCCCAGAAAAGCACACTGAATTCAGCCTGGAGGGTCCCCCCACCACCTCTTCAAGATTTTCACAGTATCTCCTTCTTTGTAAGAATTGCTTGGCTTAGTATGTTGAGAAAAACATACTAAGTATGTAGTGTTGTGTTGGAAGGGAAACTTAACTGGGTGAGATTTTCAGTTGAGTAGCTTTAGCTGTTACTCCCATGGAGCTTCCTCTGGGCAGTTGGTACAGGTTCTGTGGGAAAAGCACTGAATGAATTCAGCTACTGCAGATGCTACTCTATTTTCAAGTGTGGTAATTCCTTTAATTTTTTTCCCTTTCGGTTTACTCCTTATTCTCTAGTAATAATAGACTTTTGGGAGGTTGCATTTATGATAAAAAGAAGCCTGGGGCTGTACAATCCTTCCTAGCTATCACAAAGAAGTGCAAAGTTGTAAGTGGAGGTGGTGGCCTTGCTTTGCCAATGTACACTGAAGATAATGTTTGCTCCTGTTTAGAATTTCAGGGTTAACTACTTCTTGGAAAAATAATCCCAGGAGGAATCGCATCAACAGAAGGGATTCAGTTCACTTTTGCAATCTCCTGAGAACCAATTTCTTAAGACTCGTGGAATACTCAGTTTAAACACAAGACTGTTTAAAAACACACAGCTGTATTGGAGTATTATTGACATACAATAGCATGACATATTTCAATTGTACAACTGTGTAAGTTTTCACATGTATACGCCTATGAAACCATCAGTACATTCAATATTATGAACCTGTACATCACCCCCAAAAGATTCTTTGTGCATACCCCTTTGTAATCCTTTCTTATTGCCCCTTCTCTCACCAGGAAACCATCAATCTGCTTTCTGTCAATAGAAATTAGATTGCATTTTATGGAGTTTTATATGAAAGAGGTCAGACAGTACTTATTTCTTTATTTTGATCTGGCTTCTTTTAGAATAATTATTTTGAGATTCATCTATATATTTTATGTTCATTCCCTTTTATAGCTGATAGTAGGTATATACCACAATTTATCCAGTCACCCATTTAAAGCATTTGGATTTTTCCAGTTTTTGGCTATTACATCCAAAGCTGCTATAAACATTTATGTACAAGGCTTTGTATGGGCATACATGCCTGCATCTTTTTAAGTGATTCTACTTACTTTTTAAAAATGTAGACCTTCTGGGCTCTAGTCCTAGGTTTTTCTCTAACCATTTGTGTGTTCTTAGGAGAGGCATTTAACTTTGCCTTCAGCAACCTCAAGGTCTTTGCTGTGATTTTGAGTCATCACTGCCAGAAACCAAGATGGTCTTTGTTGATTTGATGGTTAGAGAGTTTCAGAAGGAGATAGATGGGTCAAATTCTTCCTCTCTGTTTCTTTTGAAGGATCTATTTTCTTTCATTTCACTTTTTTTCCCCCATGATGACAAATTTAAATGCTGACATATAATTTGGGGCAAGAACAGAAGTGGTTAAATAAGTAGGAGGAAGAGCTAATGTGGTTGAATCACAGGTGGAGGGCAAGAGGTGGGAAATAAGCAAGCTCAGAAATTTTGTGGCTCTTCCTTTTTCTCAAACTATCCTCTTCTAAGTCTTGCCTTTTGTTATTTTTCCAGGAACAATTTGTTTTTTAACTTTGGGGTTAGGAGGTGAGTGGGTATGCTGGACTCCAAAGGTCACATATTAACTGGAGGTGGTGGATGGGAGGTTTCTTAGTTAAAAATAATTATTTTGGGAGGCCGAGGTGGGTAGATCACAATGTCGGGAGGTCGAGACCATCCTGGCCAATATGGTGAAACCCCATCTCTACTAAAAATACAAAAATTAGCTGGACACAGCTAATTTCCAATGCAGCATGGTGCCATCCAAAGTCCCTCCCTCTATCCACTGCATCACAGTGTCCTCTTTTTGGTAACTCCAGGGTTCAGGTATGCAGAAAGCCATTTCTGGATTTGCTGGGATCTCTCATTTGCCTGTTGTTCTGTGCCTGTATCAGCAACACACCACGTTAATTACATGTTGATGTCTGGTCGTGAGACTTTTCCAACTTTGCTTTTCTTCAAGAATTCATGGCCATTCTTGGCACACACCTGTAGTCCCAGTCACCTGGGAGGCTTAGACAGAAGAAGCGCTTGAACCCAGGAGGTGGCAGTGAGCCAAGATCATGCCACTGCACTCAAGCCTGGGTGACAGAGTGAGACTCTGTCTCAAAAAAAAAAAAAAAAAAAAATCCTTATTTTCTTCTTTCAGATATGGCTGGAGTCATTTGTTTCATATTTTCCCTTCACCTTTTACTTGCCCTAAATCTGGTTCAGAACTTTTTATTGGAGCGTTAATCTACCAGAAGATTTTTGTGTACTAAAATTCAAGCAAATAATAATAGACTATTTTATTATACAGAATGAAAATGTGGCCCTTGGGGTTGGTGGTCTGTTTGGTTCTCTGGACCCTGCATTCTGAGGGGTCTGGAGGGAAACTGACAGCTGTGGATCCTGAAACAAAGATGAATGTGGTAAGTTTCTCAAAGTTTTGTGCTTTTAAAATGCTTCTGTGACAAATGTTATTTTCCCAGATCCAGTTATGTAGGCTACATGAAGCCATACATTCATCTCTTTATAGCTCCTTTGCTTTTCAATTTCTCT